GGAAATCTCAGGTCCCCTTTTATTTTCAGGAGGAAGTGTGTAGTGTCAATATTTTAAACAAAATAATAATAATAATAATAATAATAATAAAGTATTTGTCAATTTATAATGAATTCTCAGTGGTTTGTGTGCCATTTTTAAAGTGATAGCTGTTCTCAGGTTAGCCTTAAAACCATATAATAATAATAAAGTATTTTTTAATTTATAATGAATTCTCAGTGGTTTGTGTGCCATTTTTAAAGTGATAGCTGTTCTCAGGTTAGCCTTAAAACCATTCCTCAGATGTACAGCATCACATGGCAGGCGCTGCCTGCTGTTACTATCGGAAAGTGTAAAATTTGATGGAATTTTGTTAGTGCCCTGTGGTGTCTCCTGAGTAATGTATGAATGTACCTCTAAATATCACATGGGAGTCCTAAGTTTAATAGAAAAATTGTCAGTCAGCTTCTTGCGTTCTTGTGATCTATAGCTCATACGAGATCTATGATAATAACTGAAGTGGATCCAAATACCCATACAGGAGCAGAAATAGTTTCTGCAGGCAATGCAAAGTCTCTCCTGGTTCCAGCTGAGGATGCCACCTCCCATGCAGATCCCGAGAGTCCCCCTATCCTTAAGGGCAGCTTTTGGAATGACACAAGGGACCGGTGTTCCCTCTAAGCTGAGTTAGTGTGAGCTAGCTCACAGTTTTTTTAGCCTCCGGCTCACACTTTTTTCTCTTAGCTCAGGAAGGATGGCTCCAGAGCAAACTAATTTATGCAGTAGCCAAATCGCTCGCGCATAACTTTAATGCCAGTAGCTCACACAGTAGAATTTTTGCTCACAGGGCTCCACAGCTTAGAGGGAACATTGCAAGGGACTACCGAAAACAGAGGGAGAAAGAAAAGATCTGTTCTTCAAGCAGAGCTCCCATTCATGGTTCTTAGGATCCAAACTTTAATTACTAATTGAAAATTGTTCCACAGTTGAAACCGGTGTTACTGGGCAGCCACATTGTGACCAGTCCCTTAACCACAGCTCTGGGACTGGGCCATGTGATTGCACATTCCTTCTCTTCGCTCCTCCTATCTCCATTGTGAATTTCCTCCAAAGGGACGATAACAAAGGTTTGTGCTGGCACCAAACTCAACTGTGATTAACATTAACCAGGATTTGCTATTAGTCAGCTTCACACTCTGGTTTATAGTCTTGAATAACCAAGATTTGCTTTTAACATAGTTAAGGTTTTGTGCCACCAAACCAAGCCTTAACTGTGGCTGGGGAAAGAAAGCATTATTTTTAATTTCTGTGCTCACTGTATAAGAACTGCCTTGCTGAATCATGCTAAAGACCAGTGGCTAGCCAAATGCCTGTGGGAAATTCCCAAGCAGTTTCTGAAGGTGGTCAAATGGATAATTTAACATAACCTACCCACACCTTCCTTTTGCAGCGACTACAACAATGTAAAGGCAGCCTATGAGGCCATGAAGAACGTAGCCTGCTTGATCAATGAGCGCAAACGAAGGCTCGAAAGCATAGACAAGATTGCACGCTGGCAAGTATCCATAGTCAGCTGGGAGGTAAGGCCGCTCTCCTGTGAACTTTTTATGTTTACAGTGACCTGTATCCTACCATTCCACTCAGTAAAGTTTGAAGCCTTTCTCCAGCCTAAGTGGAGGAAGGCTTCTTTGGTGTAGTGGTTAAGAGCGGTGGACTCTAATCTGGAGAACTGGGTTTGATTCCCCACTTCTCCACATGCAGCCAGCTGGGTGACCTTAGGTCAGTCACAGTTCTCTCAAGAGCAGTCCTCAGAGAGCTCTCACAGTTCCACCTACCTCACAGGGTGTCTGTTGCGGGGAAAGGAGGGGAAGGAGATTGTAAGCCACTCTGAGACTCCAAGTGAAGGGCGGGGTATAAATTCAACTCTTCTTCAGCCTAAAATAGGAGAATGCCCAGTTTAGCATCCATTCTGTTGTGTTGGGATTTTGTTGAGACCCAGTGTAGTGTAGGGATCAGAGTGTCAGACTAGGATCTGGGAGACCCAGGTTTGAATCCCCACTCTGCCGTGGAAGCTAGCTGGGTGACCTTGGGTCAGTTACATGCTCTCAGCCTAGCCTACCTCATAGGGTTGTTGTTGTATGGACAAAATGGAGGAGAAGAGAATTATGTAAGCCACCTTGGGTCCCCAGTGGGGAGAAAGGTGAGCTATTAATGAAGTAAATAAAGAAATAATTTTTATTGTACATGTTCTGTTGGTTTTACAAAAGTGATTCATTCATGGATTCGTTTAGAATTATTTTATGCTGACTGTCTTGCTGTGACTCTCTTAGAAAGGAACGGAGTGATCCTATAATCATGTACTGGAGACTGAGAACAGGGCAAATGGCGGAACACAGATGAGTGTGCATAAGTCCGTTGATTTCGTTAGGTTTAACTCTCATCTGGAGAGTTCAGAGCTCTGGAGCTCATCTGGAGAGTTTGGGCTCAGTCCCAAAACAGTCTTACACCAAAGTTTTCAATATAGTACAAAATCACTGTTAAATAATGTAGCAGTAAATCTTGAAGGAAATAAACCTTAAAGCTTTTCCGTGTTATAAATAATTTTAGGGGCAAGATATTTTAGGACGGAGCTCGGAATTAATCCACTCAGGAGAACTGACCAAGGTCTCCAAGCAAGGCAAGAGCCAGCAGAGGACTTTCTTTCTCTTTGATCATCAGCTTGTCTTCTGCAAGAAAGATCTATTGAGAAGGGACATGCTGTACATGAAGGGCCGGATTGACATGGACGAGGTGGAAGTGCTGGATGTGGAGGATGGCAGGGACAAGGACTTCAATGTCAATGTCAAAAACGCTTTCAAGATTGTGAATGGAGCCACGGAAGAAGTGCATCTGTTTTGTGGGAAAAAGCCAGGGGATAAGAAGAGGTGGCTGGAAGCCTGTGCAAGGGAGAGGCGACGAGTGCAGGAAGACAAAGAAATGGGTGAGTGTCAGAATAAGTGGAAATGGTGCTCCCGCGCTTCTCCCATTTTTGCTCTTGGCGAGATTCTCTGACATTTGAAGTTACTTTGACTATTTATCAGAAAAAAGTTTAATTGTGTAAATAAGGGCTTTTCTGTTGAGCGTTTCAGCTTCAACTGATGGGAAAACAGAGCACAGTAGGAAGCGAGCAGGGGGAGTTTACTGAGTAGGGCAAATAAATAAGCATCTTATTATGCAGCGGGGCTCGTCCAAACCATACTCAAGAAATTATTTTTCTGGCGGTGTGGAAGAGCTGCCCTTTTCTGCTGATGAAACTGGCAGCAAAATAACTTGAGAGAGAGAGAGAGCATGCATCATATGAAGGACAGCTATAAATCTCCATTCAGATACTCCGGTGTTGCCATTCTCCTATGTTACCCTGCCTTTTGTACTGCTAAATAAGTGTTTTTTCAGAAGGTGTCTCTAGAGCAGAAATCTGGCCCATCCTAAGCTCAGCCATGCTTAAAATGTATGGCCAAACAATAGCTTTCAAGCTCTGACGGCATTTTGTCTCTTCTTAGCACTACTCCATAGGCTCTGAAATCCTAACTAGGGTCTTGTGGAGAGGAGTCAGCACAATTACATTGACAGGCACTGTGACTCTGGCACAGCTGTTCTTGAAAAAGAGCAGTTTCTGTCAAGAGTTCTCTCAGCCCCACCCACCTCACAGGGTGTCTGTTGTGGGGAGGGGAAGGGAAAGGAGTTTGTAAGCCGCTCTGAGACACCTTTGGGTAGTGAAGGGCAGGGTATAAATCCAATCTCTTCTTCTCTTCTTCTTCTTCTTCCCAGCAGCATTTCACCAAGAGGGCAGTGGTACTTTTTTTCAGCCATTCTGTCCATACAACTTGCAGCCAAAAGCAGCTCCTGTCAGCATAGTTGTGCCTATTCATCCATTATTTTCTCCCTGAACCTCTGGTCATGAGGAGTATTTTTAAGCACATGAGGAGTATTTTTAAGGATACGAATATTTTTAAGCTCTTGCACTGTTCAAGCTCAAGGGGGGGTTATGCTATGAAATACAACAGCATAGCATCCGAATATAAAGCAGTCTAAATAAAATAGATGGTAAATACCTATGCATTCTGTGTCCACAGCTTATAGTGCAATCCTAAGCAGAGTTACACCTTTCTAATTCTGTTGAAATTAATGGGCTAAAAAGGGTGCAGTTCTGGTTAGGGCTGCACTGCTAGACAAGGCCATGTCCAAAAGTGGATGTTTTTCAGGCCACTGAAACCCAATTCAAGCTGAAATTATTTGACATCACTTCCTGAAGAGGTAGACATTTGGGCTGATTCTCCAGGGGAATGCGGGGAGTGTTGTGGCTCCATGGAAACAAACAGAAATTGAGCAGCACCAGTGCTGTTTGGAGGACTGGCCCAGATTGTTCAAATGAAGTGCATCTGGGCTGTTCTTATGTATTCCTTCAATCTTCACCAGCAATGGTGATTCTAAAAATCTCTGTACACTTAGCAAATGGGTTGCACCAGTGCAGTGTGTTTCAGAGTTACCTTGGGAGAAGTCTAATCCATTTGACCTTTTCTTCTGGCTAGTCATTGGACACTCTACTAGGAAATCTGCAGTTGTTTCTTACGGGCACATGAACATACCAACATTATTTTCCTAGTGGAGTATCATGCAAAGGCTTTCTGAGCGGCCACCCCCTAGACTTTGTAACTTCCCTCCCAAGGAATTACATCTCATCATCTCAGTACACACCTTCCTATGCTAGTTAAAGACTTTTAAAAAAATGTGGAAGGTCTTTTAATTGGAGTGTTATTCCTGGTTTTAATTTATGCTTTTAAAGTAATTTTTAATTTTTGTTGGAGGGGTGAAAATTACATTTTGTTACTGTCATCAGCTGTCTTGGGCATATTATATATGTGAAAAGGTGGCATATAAGTAATAATAATAAAGTATAAGGGAATCTATTACACATCTTGTCTCAACACAGCCCTATATGTTTGCATGACATTGCTGAACTAAGCTTTATTATTGAATGACATTGTAAGTGCTTTTTGCTTTAAATAATTACTGAGGTGAGCATCTGAAATTGTATTTAAATGTGTATCATTTACTCCAAACTGCAGGCATGGAGATTTCAGAAAACCAAAAGAAACAAGCCATGCAGAATGCACGGAAATCAAGACATGGAAAGATTAAAGGTGAATTTTAAAGAATCTGCCTGTTCTCTCTAATATTTTAAAGGCTGGTTCACACAAGATACATTACCTTTCTCATAAGGAGCTTTGACTGTCTTTGGGCACTTGTTCATACAGAAAAAGATACAGATCGAGCAATTGTAGAGCCAGCTGACAGCAGTTCCATTACTTTTGGTGTCTGGCTGGAAGAGATGCTAAGTAGATGGCTGATATTGTTGCCAGCTACAACTGTTGCCAGCTACAACTATTGTTGCAGATTCCTGGCTGCTTGAGAGAGGAAAGGGCATTGTTTGACTGTGATTGACTGCAATTGAGAGGAAAAGGAAGGGGCATTGTTTTGCATGTGATTGAGTGCCTGGGTGCATTTGAATAGCTGCTGCCAGCCCTCTGCTGGGGGAGGCCTCTATTTAAGGAAACACCTGGCCAGAGGCAGAGGAGACCCAGCTGAGCTCTGAGCAGGAACAGGAGCAGGAGACAGAGGGGTGAGTGGTTTTTTATTTGCTTTCAGCGGAGAGGATCCAGCTGAGGATTTTGGTGGGAGAACTGGTCTGGGAGTGTGTGGAAGCGCTTGGAGTTTTTGCAGATTCCTGGCTGCTTGAGAGAGGAAAGGGCATTGTTTGACTGTGATTGACTGCAATTGAGAGGAAAAGGAAGGGGCATTGTTTTGCATGTGATTGAGTGCCTGGGTGCATTTGAATAGCTGCTGCCAGCACTCTGCTGGGGGAGGCCTCTATTTAAGGAAACACCTGGCCAGAGGCAGAGGAGACCCAGCTGAGCTCTGAGCAGGAACAGGAGCAGGAGACAGAAGGGTGAGTGGTTTTTTATTTGCTTTCAGCGGAGAGGATCCAGCTGAGGATTTTGGTGGGAGAACTGGTCTGGGAGTGTGTGGAAGCGCTTGGAGTTTTTGCAGATTCCTGGCTGCTTGAGAGAGGAAAGGGCATTGTTTGACTGTGATTGACTGCAATTGAGAGGAAAAGGAAGGGGCATTGTTTTGCATGTGATTGAGTGCCTGGGTGCATTTGAATAGCTGCTGCCAGCACTCTGCTGGGGGAGGCCTCTATTTAAGGAAACACCTGGCCAGAGGCAGAGGAGACCCAGCTGAGCTCTGAGCAGGAACAGGAGCAGGAGACAGAAGGGTGAGTGGTTTTTTATTTGCTTTCAGCGGAGAGGATCCAGCTGAGGATTTTGGTGGGAGAACTGGTCTGGGAGTGTGTGGAAGCGCTTGGAGTTTTTGCAGATTCCTGGCTGCTTGAGAGAGGAAAGGGCATTGTTTGACTGTGATTGACTGCAATTGAGAGGAAAAGGAAGGGGCATTGTTTTGCATGTGATTGAGTGCCTGGGTGCATTTGAATAGCTGCTGCCAGCACTCTGCTGGGGGAGGCCTCTATTTAAGGAAACACCTGGCCAGAGGCAGAGGAGACCCAGCTGAGCTCTGAGCAGGAACAGGAGCAGGAGACAGAAGGGTGAGTGGTTTTTTATTTGCTTTCAGCGGAGAGGATCCAGCTGAGGATTTTGGTGGGAGAACTGGTCTGGGAGTGTGTGGAAGCGCTTGGAGTTTTTGCAGATTCCTGGCTGCTTGAGAGAGGAAAGGGCATTGTTTGACTGTGATTGACTGCAATTGAGAGGAAAAGGAAGGGGCATTGTTTTGCATGTGATTGAGTGCCTGGGTGCATTTGAATAGCTGCTGCCAGCACTCTGCTGGGGGAGGCCTCTATTTAAGGAAACACCTGGCCAGAGGCAGAGGAGACCCAGCTGAGCTCTGAGCAGGAACAGGAGCAGGAGACAGAAGGGTGAGTGGTTTTTTATTTGCTTTCAGCGGAGAGGATCCAGCTGAGGATTTTGGTGGGAGAACTGGTCTGGGAGTGTGTGGAAGCGCTTGGAGTTTTTGCAGATTCCTGGCTGCTTGAGAGAGGAAAGGGCATTGTTTGACTGTGATTGACTGCAATTGAGAGGAAAAGGAAGGGGCATTGTTTTGCATGTGATTGAGTGCCTGGGTGCATTTGAATAGCTGCTGCCAGCACTCTGCTGGGGGAGGCCTCTATTTAAGGAAACACCTGGCCAGAGGCAGAGGAGACCCAGCTGAGCTCTGAGCAGGAACAGGAGCAGGAGACAGAAGGGTGAGTGGTTTTTTATTTGCTTTCAGCGGAGAGGATCCAGCTGAGGATTTTGGTGGGAGAACTGGTCTGGGAGTGTGTGGAAGCGCTTGGAGTTTTTGCAGATTCCTGGCTGCTTGAGAGAGGAAAGGGCATTGTTTGACTGTGATTGACTGCAATTGAGAGGAAAAGGAAGGGGCATTGTTTTGCATGTGATTGAGTGCCTGGGTGCATTTGAATAGCTGCTGCCAGCACTCTGCTGGGGGAGGCCTCTATTTAAGGAAACACCTGGCCAGAGGCAGAGGAGACCCAGCTGAGCTCTGAGCAGGAACAGGAGCAGGAGACAGAAGGGTGAGTGGTTTTTTATTTGCTTTCAGCGGAGAGGATCCAGCTGAGGATTTTGGTGGGAGAACTGGTCTGGGAGTGTGTGGAAGCGCTTGGAGTTTTTGCAGATTCCTGGCTGCTTGAGAGAGGAAAGGGCATTGTTTGACTGTGATTGACTGCAATTGAGAGGAAAAGGAAGGGGCATTGTTTTGCATGTGATTGAGTGCCTGGGTGCATTTGAATAGCTGCTGCCAGCACTCTGCTGGGGGAGGCCTCTATTTAAGGAAACACCTGGCCAGAGGCAGAGGAGACCCAGCTGAGCTCTGAGCAGGAACAGGAGCAGGAGACAGAAGGGTGAGTGGTTTTTTATTTGCTTTCAGCGGAGAGGATCCAGCTGAGGATTTTGGTGGGAGAACTGGTCTGGGAGTGTGTGGAAGCGCTTGGAGTTTTTGCAGATTCCTGGCTGCTTGAGAGAGGAAAGGGCATTGTTTGACTGTGATTGACTGCAATTGAGAGGAAAAGGAAGGGGCATTGTTTTGCATGTGATTGAGTGCCTGGGTGCATTTGAATAGCTGCTGCCAGCACTCTGCTGGGGGAGGCCTCTATTTAAGGAAACACCTGGCCAGAGGCAGAGGAGACCCAGCTGAGCTCTGAGCAGGAACAGGAGCAGGAGACAGAAGGGTGAGTGGTTTTTTATTTGCTTTCAGCGGAGAGGATCCAGCTGAGGATTTTGGTGGGAGAACTGGTCTGGGAGTGTGTGGAAGCGCTTGGAGTTTTTGCAGATTCCTGGCTGCTTGAGAGAGGAAAGGGCATTGTTTGACTGTGATTGACTGCAATTGAGAGGAAAAGGAAGGGGCATTGTTTTGCATGTGATTGAGTGCCTGGGTGCATTTGAATAGCTGCTGCCAGCACTCTGCTGGGGGAGGCCTCTATTTAAGGAAACACCTGGCCAGAGGCAGAGGAGACCCAGCTGAGCTCTGAGCAGGAACAGGAGCAGGAGACAGAAGGGTGAGTGGTTTTTTATTTGCTTTCAGCGGAGAGGATCCAGCTGAGGATTTTGGTGGGAGAACTGGTCTGGGAGTGTGTGGAAGCGCTTGGAGTTTTTGCAGATTCCTGGCTGCTTGAGAGAGGAAAGGGCATTGTTTGACTGTGATTGACTGCAATTGAGAGGAAAAGGAAGGGGCATTGTTTTGCATGTGATTGAGTGCCTGGGTGCATTTGAATAGCTGCTGCCAGCACTCTGCTGGGGGAGGCCTCTATTTAAGGAAACACCTGGCCAGAGGCAGAGGAGACCCAGCTGAGCTCTGAGCAGGAACAGGAGCAGGAGACAGAAGGGTGAGTGGTTTTTTATTTGCTTTCAGCGGAGAGGATCCAGCTGAGGATTTTGGTGGGAGAACTGGTCTGGGAGTGTGTGGAAGCGCTTGGAGTTTTTGCAGATTCCTGGCTGCTTGAGAGAGGAAAGGGCATTGTTTGACTGTGATTGACTGCAATTGAGAGGAAAAGGAAGGGGCATTGTTTTGCATGTGATTGAGTGCCTGGGTGCATTTGAATAGCTGCTGCCAGCACTCTGCTGGGGGAGGCCTCTATTTAAGGAAACACCTGGCCAGAGGCAGAGGAGACCCAGCTGAGCTCTGAGCAGGAACAGGAGCAGGAGACAGAAGGGTGAGTGGTTTTTTATTTGCTTTCAGCGGAGAGGATCCAGCTGAGGATTTTGGTGGGAGAACTGGTCTGGGAGTGTGTGGAAGCGCTTGGAGTTTTTGCAGATTCCTGGCTGCTTGAGAGAGGAAAGGGCATTGTTTGACTGTGATTGACTGCAATTGAGAGGAAAAGGAAGGGGCATTGTTTTGCATGTGATTGAGTGCCTGGGTGCATTTGAATAGCTGCTGCCAGCACTCTGCTGGGGGAGGCCTCTATTTAAGGAAACACCTGGCCAGAGGCAGAGGAGACCCAGCTGAGCTCTGAGCAGGAACAGGAGCAGGAGACAGAAGGGTGAGTGGTTTTTTATTTGCTTTCAGCGGAGAGGATCCAGCTGAGGATTTTGGTGGGAGAACTGGTCTGGGAGTGTGTGGAAGCGCTTGGAGTTTTTGCAGATTCCTGGCTGCTTGAGAGAGGAAAGGGCATTGTTTGACTGTGATTGACTGCAATTGAGAGGAAAAGGAAGGGGCATTGTTTTGCATGTGATTGAGTGCCTGGGTGCATTTGAATAGCTGCTGCCAGCACTCTGCTGGGGGAGGCCTCTATTTAAGGAAACACCTGGCCAGAGGCAGAGGAGACCCAGCTGAGCTCTGAGCAGGAACAGGAGCAGGAGACAGAAGGGTGAGTGGTTTTTTATTTGCTTTCAGCGGAGAGGATCCAGCTGAGGATTTTGGTGGGAGAACTGGTCTGGGAGTGTGTGGAAGCGCTTGGAGTTTTTGCAGATTCCTGGCTGCTTGAGAGAGGAAAGGGCATTGTTTGACTGTGATTGACTGCAATTGAGAGGAAAAGGAAGGGGCATTGTTTATCAATGGTGCGACCTCATCTGGAATACTGTGTGCAATTCTGGTCACCACACCTTAAAAAGGATATTATAGCTTTGGAAAAAGTGCAGAAAAGAGCAACTCGAATGATAAAAGGGTTGGAACACTTTCCCTATGAGGAACGGTTAAGGCGCTTAGGGCTCTTTAGCTTGGAGAAAAGACGACTGAGGGGTGACATGATCGAGGTTTATAAGATTATGCATGGGAAAGAGCAGGTAAAGAAAGAGGTACTTTTCTCCCTTTCTCACAATACAAGAACCCGTGGGCACTCCATGAAATTGCTGAGCAGTCGGGTTAGAACGGATAAAAGGAAGTACTTATTCACCCAAAGAGTGATTAACACATGGAATTCACTGCCACAGGAAGTGGTGGGTGCTACAAGCATGGACGGCTTCAAAAGGGAATTAGATAAGCATATGGAGCAGAGGTCCATCAGTGGCTATTAGCCACAAGGTATAGATAGGGACTCTGGGGCAAGTGATGCTCTGTCATCTTGGTGCTTGGGGGGGGGTCAACAGTGGGAGGGCTTCTAATGTCCTGGCCCCACTGGTGGACCTCCTGATGGCACTGGTATTTCTGGCCACTGTGGGATACAGAGTGTTGGACTGGATGGGCCTTTGGCCTGATCCAACATTGGCATCTCTTATGTTCTTATGTTCTTAACTGATAGTCCAGTTCCCAAGCAGTATTTCTCACATGAGCATTATGCTTCGGTATCCTTGGGATAACTTGAGTGTAGAGCAAAACATCTTGCATTAACAGGCCCTAAATTCTGAGCCCTCTCTAAATTTTCTCTCTGTGTCCCTACATATAACAGTTCAACTGATAGTCCAGTTCCCAAGCAGTATTTCTCACATGAGCATTATGCTTCGGTATCCTTGGGATAACTTGAGTGTAGAGCAAAACATCTTGCATTAACAGGCCCTAAATTCTGAGCCCTCTCTAAATTTTCTCTCTGTGTCCCTACATATAACAGTTCCATACATATTCTTGGTGTTTTCTTCCTACAGGTGTTAGCTATGGTGGGTGCCCAGTACCACCACCACACCAGAGTTTACATCCTATCCATCAGCGTCATATCACAGTGCCCACTAGCATTCCACAGCAGCAGGTCTTTGCCCTGGCAGAACCCAAGCGGAAGCCATCACTTTTCTGGCATACTTTTAACAAACTGACACCATTCAAGAAATGAATGGCCGAAAGTAATTAGACTGGAAGGACAAATGCTGAAAGAGAGCAATGTGGCAGCGTGGGATTCATTGGGACACGTGGAGCAGGGAAACTGTGACTCCTGCTCCAGAGAAGAGGATGTTTGGCTTCCCCTGACCTTCCTCTGTAACCTTTGTTGTGAAGGATGGAGTCTGTACAGTTAAGTGAAGAAGGCTGCGGTGTGTTCTGAAGCAAATATTGACTTACATCAATAAACATTGCTGATGAAGAGCCAGCCACTTGGTCGCAAGGGCCAATTGCTGCTATTCTAGTACAGTGGTGTACTGTTTATGCTGTACTTGTACCAAAGGAATGGTTACAATCTCTAAATCGTTTTGCCTGTCTTAATAATTAATTGATGGCCAAATTTAGAAATAGGACAGAAAAGCATTTTTCTCTGTCGCAGCACATTGCAAAGAAAGGTTTTGTCTTCTTTGTGGACATCGAATGAGCACGCAGATCCCACCTGATGACCAAATAGCTTCTGCTGCAAGAACTGGTGAACCTCATTCCTTCCTTATTTCACTGCCTGGTTCTGCTGATTTTGCCAAATGGCAATAGGACTTCCTGCAAAGCCTTAACAGCTTCCTAAAAAAACAACTGAAGAGAATTTTATCATGGTAACATAAAACTGGAAAACATACATTTTTTTATATGCTGTTGCAAATAATGAAGGAAAGATCTGATGCATCTTGGAGATTATTCTTACCAAGAGGGGTGCTTTGCTGCACACATGGTATGCACTTCGAAGAAAAATTATTTCATTTTATTTTGGTACTTGCAATTGTTGGCCCATGAGAACTGCCTCTGTGGCTTCTGATATGCCTGCATTTACAATATGAAAGCAAATGTTCTGTGTTTTTTAATTACACTAATGTGATTTGTACAAAGATTAACACAAAGTTAACACGAATTGGAGACAACTAACACAGGTTTTCTTCCATAAGTTCCATACATATACATGTTCCAGCTGGCTCATGTTATTCTTATTTAAGGCCTCCAGGAGGTTCCTGAGCTGGTATGTGGTTATGTTTGTACACACCATCCAAGCAAAATGGTTACTTAGGGTGGTTTTTTTCCTTGCAATGTCAAGAGGATCCTGCGCCAGGGATGAGATGGTGCCATTAGAAATGAAGGTGGATCGAAAGAGACTTTAAAAATGGGCCAAAGGTGGCCTATTTATGGGATGTCAAAATGATTTATTTTTATTTTGCTCTGTTCCATGAAATGAAGTTGTTTTTAATATAGCTTTTACAAAATACTCTACCCTGAGGAAACTGTCAAAAGCTTAAGTTTATGGTACACATTTTTTCCTTCTCAGTGATTTTATATGAATACATATACTAATGTGCATTATGTGCATAATGTGCACTGTCAAAAGCTTAAGTTTATGGTACACATTTTTTCCTTCTCAGTGATTTTATATGAATACATATACTAATGTGCATTATCAACAGGAATGGAGTGGGGCAACTTTGTATTTGAAAACTAGCTTCCAAAAAATTCCCAAGTACTTTCAGTCTGGCATAATGCGCTAATTATCATGGCCATAGTAAAGATAGATTGCTGAATTGTTTTTGACTGTGATGGCAACAGTATTTGGGTGTATGTCAAACTATATGAAAGAGAATGAACTGCAGCCAAGCTCCTCTGTCACACAGTGGAAAAGCCTTATGCAAAAGAACTATTTTGCTGCAATCATAAACATACTTACTTGGAAGCAAATCACTTTGAAATTAGTGAAACCTCTTGGTGAATATGGTAAGGACTGAGCTGTTCCTTTCTATGGCTTCTCTCTCCTCCTTGTTCAGACCATGTGCTGAAGAGTCCACACACAAAAAAGACATAGTGCAATTCAAGTACAGCTTCCATCCCTTTTTAAGACCCATGAATTTCAGTGGGAATGCTTAAACTGTCAGCATGGCGTAGTGGTTAAGAGTGGCAGACTCTAATCTGGAGCACTGGGTTTGATTCCCCACTCCTCTTCATGAAACCTGCTGGGTGACCTTGGGCCAGTCACAGTTCTCTCAGAACTCTCTCAGCCCCTCCTACCTCACGGTGCCTGTTGTGGGGACAGGAAGGGAATTGTAAGCCACTTTGAGTCTCCTTAAGGTAGAAGGAGGCAGCGGGGTATAAAACCCTTTTCTTCAACCTTTTTCACTGAACTAAATGGGTACTTAAAAGCTCTGAACTCTGTCTAGATTGTACCCTCAAATGCATATGTATAAAACTCGAGTGGCAGCTTCTGCAACAGTCAATAAAGGCTTATTGTCTGGTAAATGACAAATGCTGATCAAAATTATACCATGTACATTTGTTATCTGATTATGTATTGTCATTCTTTCATACGCGGTTTTCATATCCATGAAAAATTATCTTTTACTCACAAGCATTTTTAACCTGAAGCGATACCTTTGAAAGACAAGGATTCCTTCTGTACATAGCTTCAATAATGGCTGCAAACAGGATGTTGATGCTAAACCAAATTACCCAGCTTGTTGTGGAATGCATTGCTTTTCAATATTAACTTTTGCAGTGATATAGTCGAGAACCGATACATGTAGTAACAGACTGGCATTTGACCCTGAGCAATTATTCAGTTGTTTAAACTGGAAAAGGTCATTGGAAGAGATACCTGCATCTCCCCAGTTACCCCTTTGGTTGGTACAGTTGCCTGCTTTGAGAGCATAACTAAATGTAGTGGGGTGTGCAAGGCATATTGAGAGTATAACCACCACTCACCGTATCATGCCTCATTCACATGCTGACAATGTGGCTTAAAATGGTTTCTTAAAAGGAATTGACCACCGTGCCTGCATCAGTGTTCTCCAAAAATTTTAAATTTTACCATTATCACTATATATGTACAAAACGCAAAGAGTGCTTTCTAGGCGTGAATGATGCATCCACATAACCATGCCTGCCCCAGGCCAGGTGCCTATCCCACGATTGCAAAGAATTTGTGTGGGACAAATGGGCAAACTCTGTTCTTGCAAGCTGTAGCCTTTCAGCACAGCCACTGCCTTACAGATGTGCTGCTGATAGGTTGGGTGCACCAAGCCACAATCAAGTAATTTGTATCAACGGGAGGCTTTCCTCTGTTTGCCTAGGCTCAGTCGGCAGCTTCTGTTGCCCCTTTCCCTTCTCCCCCTCTAGGGTAGTATTGTGGGAGGGTTAGAGTCATGTATGGTAGTTCCTAGATAAATGTGGGCTTCTCACTGACATGAATTACCTGGGTGTGGTAGGGTACACCCAAGTTGTGTAAGCTTGAAAAGAGAGAAGAGGGCTAGAATGACGTCTGTGCAAGAGGTTCTCTTCCACAATCCAGTATCTCTGTTCCTTCCATGAAAGTTTTGATAGGCAAAGGAGGAAGGAGGTTCAGATTTGCTTATGAATGCACTGATATTACTGTTTTCAGAAAACTCTCTCAAACATCATAAAGAGAGGGAAGTTGCCTCATTACGCAGGTTACTCAGGAAAAAAAATATATACAGTACCTTGCACACTTAAGTGGTTTATTTTAATGGTCTTTTTTGCCATGACTTAAAAAAAAATCTTTTCAAAGAGGCAGCCTAGTTTTGCTTGGTATGAAGAAGGCAATTATTGTAGGACGTTATTGTGTGACGACTTTACTTGGTTTGGGAATGTGCTGTTCCCTCAGAGATCTGAAGGCTAGAAAAATAGGTCAGATTTTGACTCTAGCATGACCTTTTTTGATATTCCATGTGAGTCAAACACTCTCAACCCAATAAAGTAGCAGCTGCCTAAGAACTTCGATATAGTTGTGGAGGCCAGAATACAAAGAGTGGTTTCAGGTTCATTACAGGGCTTGCACTTGTCCCGTGGGATTGCCAACTTCTTTTCTTGGCAGAGAGCCTCCCTGTGTCCTACCGCAAGTGGCACTGGGAGCTTCCTCTGGCTTCAGAAGCCTTTTGCCATGCACCACCAGTGGCTGCTGCTTAGGAAATACAACCCCAAAGTCATTTTAGGCATGTAGAATTAGCAGAGGGCTTCTTTGGATCTGCAGCCCACACGGCAGGCTTAGCCCAGGTTCGTCAAAGCTTGGAAGGTGCTGGTGAGTACTCAGATGGGAGGCCACCGAGGAAGACCTACTCCACTCCTGTCTTGCCTAGAATGTCCCACAGAGGGGGTAGCCGTGAGTTGGATGCAATTCAGTGGCACCTTCTTCTTCAGATCCTCAGCCAGGTTGAGGAATCAGCTTACATATTCCAAAGTACTATGTTTTTGGCTCACTGTAAGCATGCCTTTATCAGTCTAACCAAGTTAACACCTTTTCAACTTATCCAGTTGATTTTAATTTGCATATCAACACACACACACTTTAAAATATTAGAATCTAACCACGCCTAATTTCCACAGCAACCTTTGCCTGGCTTTAAAGTTATTTTGTCATATTCATGTGTTAACTACTGAGTGTGATAGTGCCTCATTTCCCTAAAGCGCAGCTTAGCCGGAGTCCTTGTACAAATGACCTCAGCCTTTGCGCATGAAAGGCAGAAAAGCACACCCTTCCTTGTTTCCGTGGGGCTGCTAACACCAAACCCTACCCGTCTAGTTGACTATTAACACCTCTTCCTACAAGTAAATAAGCTAGTTTTAACAATGACTTGCAGTTCACTATGAAAAAATGAAGGAGCTTCATTATCAAAATATTTGACGCTTAGTTGTGCAGGAGCATTCTTTCTCTTTTTTTGGTTGTGTGTGTGTTTTTTTTAATTATAGCTTGGGATTCAAGCCAAAGGACCTTAGCCATATTAAAACAGTATCTTCTGGTCAACTGCTTTTCTTTCTTTTTGTGTACAGCATTTGCATATGTGAGATGCCTTCCGATGATGTGATTTTAAATAATCGGTAATTATTAGGGCTGCTCATTTACCTTGCCTGTATATTTTGTTTTGACAAGTGTTCTATAACATTTTTTCCCCCGCTTCTGTATATGCTTTATGCATCTTAACATCTGTG